GGCTTCCGAAGGATGCGATCCCAGAATTGAGACACAGCTGCAGACTCTGCAGCTTTATTCAGGTCTGCTCTCCTTAACCAAAGGCAGACAGGGATTATACAGATGTGTAGATATGCAAGTCCTCATGCTGACACATTCACCTATGCATGAGCGTGCCGGGGTTCGATTACACACACACACACACAATCACACACAGATTTAGCAGGCATTTCCCCCGTCTGTGTCCTGATGAGAGGTGGTGTGTTGTTATCTTCAATCAGCCTGCGTTGTGGATGCCCATAGTTCACTCCCATTTCCCTATCGCCCCGCTCCCTTGACACTGATAGTTTGTGAAAGGTAAACCTCAGCTCCAGCCCTGGCGACAATGTCTCATGTCAGAGTGGATAATGGACTGCAATGCATCATGGGAAAAAACCCTGGGGTCCTGCGTTTTACATTTATTTTTAAAGCTGCAACCAAATTCTTCTTTCCCCTCCATGCTCTTTTAAAAATGGAGTAATTTCAAGGCTCATTCCTGAGGTGAAGACCAAGTCTGGTGGAGTGGAAGCGTTTAAATAGGCCTTCGCTTTACCTCCAACATACTATAGGAGCAACAAATCTGACTCACTGGGGGGTGCATTGTCTGTGCTGGCAGCATTAGTCTGTTTGATGCTATATTTGGACTCCAGGTTGAAGGTACATTATGGAGGCATGAAATCTCCATGATGAAGTTTCACCCTCTTGCAGATTACAGAGGAATAAGAATGATTTTTTTCCCTCTCCCCTCTTTCATATAACACTTGCACTGCAAATAGAAATTTTATCTTTGAGTTGAATAAGAGGTGGTTGGTGTAGGGAGGGAAATACACCATGGATGGCACTCTGGTGGATTAACCAGAACACTTTCCTCATGAGAGGATGAGGCTCTCACACACACACACACACACACACACACACACACACACACACACACACACACAGCCCTGAAGTTGATGCCAAGGTTGTTCAAAGATCAAACTTCTGCAAAAAAGCCCACACAGCAAAATACTTCACATAGGCTAATTTAGATGCTCTCTTTTGGTGTCAAATGAGTAATGTCCAGTGATGCCATGTTAATCTATTGTGGGATTTGGCTTGGAACGACCTTCCAGGGTGACGCACCTAACAGCTTAATTACCTTTTTTCAGAGGGGAATACCTCTGAGATTTAGCAGCCACTCCACACAGCAGATATGTGGCTCAGTCAAGAGGAGGTGATATGAGGTTACACTTGACTGGGCTCCAGTCATATTGACCTACCTAACCTACACACACACACACACACACACACACACACACACACACACACGTGTGTACAGCTATCTTAGTGAGGACCCTTAATGGCGTAATGCATTCCCCAGCCCCTTACTCTAACCCTAACTATCCAGACTAAATGCCCATCCCTTAACCTAACCTAAACCTAATTCTAACCCTAACCCTAAAACCATGTCTTGACCCCCCAAACAGTCCATTAAAGGGGGGGGGGGGGGTCACTTTGACAAAAATATCCTCGGTCCGTAACTTAAAGGCTAAAACTGGTCCACACAAAGAAATGCAATATTATCCTGATTGCTTCCAGGTCTGTTTCAGGATGTCAGTGGTCCAGTTTGATACACTTCTACCACTGACACCCCATTTTAAATAGAAGAAAACCAATTCCCATGAACCCATTGATCTCGAGCAACTCAAACATCTCTCAACGCTTTTCATGTAAAAAAACGCAGCAAATAGAAACTATTCCAAAAAGGTATGTTCATCTTTTTGTCTCTTTTAAGTTTTCCGGTTCGTGACCGTGTCTGTGGAGAGAACCTCCCGCTGCATTGTGCATGAGTGAAAGGCAAACTCTGGGTAAACTCTGGAGCCAATTCTCCGGATTTTACCCAGAGGTCATGTCTGAAAACAGCCTTTGTGAGCCCTGTCACAGTGGTTGAAAAAGACCTTTAAACAGCCCTTTGAAGGTGTGTCGGAAAGTGAGGGCCAAAATATCCTCACTCACACCACTTCGCACGTCTGTACGGTGCAAGGGCCAAACTGGTCCTCTCAAAGATAGAAACACAAGTAAACACACACTCACACCACTTCTCTCTCTTCCTCTTTCTTCTACCTTTTCTCTCTTTATGGGAATCTAAACTTTCACTGACTGTAACTCTGAAGATACATATCACGCTTTCTCGCTTTTCATCCTGCCTCCTTACGGCCACACTCCATCATCCCTTCTCTTCTCCCCTCTGTCGACTGGAGGTGATAAAAGTCGCCGGCAAGGGCAGCCAGAGATAATACAAAGGCACTTGGTGATAAATAGGACACAGGAGATCTGGCGGTAGTCGGGGCTGATCAAATGCACGTTCAGACAGACGAGGCAAGGTGACAGATACCCCCCCCCCCCGGAGAATGGTAATAATCATCCCTGATCACAATGATGCATTTAAGGACATTGAGCAAAGTCCTTTCATTCAGTGTCTGTGTTTTTCTCAGAGCGAACAGCAGAGGCACACGTTGCAATGTCATTTCAAAAAAGAGGTCAGTGGGAATCTATGGATATTTAATTGCTTTTGGCTGATTCTAAATTCAGAGCTGTATCCTGTGCCAGGAGGTTAAGCTGACTGGGTCCATTAAAGCGGGCAGGATGGGCGCTCTGTCTTCATTTTACGACTGCTGGGGGGTGTCAAGGTCTGGCGATGTGGCAGAGATTGAGATTTTAGTGTCGGCAGGAAGTCATGATGCCTCACTTATTCATTTTAAAAGTGATGTCTATAAAGTGCTGGGTGGTCTCTGTCTAATAACTGGAGAGCTCCGTCTTTAACAGCTTGTGAAATGAAGTTGTTTCGTGGTCTATTAATGCGTCTCCCCCGCCTCGTCCCAGGGCTCCTTTACCTCAACACAGTTTGATCAGGTTACTGTCAGTTTGCATGGATCAGAGAGTCAATTTACAGCACCGCTCTCCCGCTCTCTTTCGTGTCTGTCTCGCTCTCACTTTTGGGGCTTTGTCTTGTCTCTTTCTGTGAGATTGGCAGGTCTTTAGGGCTGCGAGGCACTTAGCTTCCCACGTTTCTTCCTCCCGTCTCCTCCCCCTCAGTCAGACTGACAGTAATTACATCGGGCCAGGCCTAGTTTATCCGGACGACCCCGAAGACGTGACAACCAGATAGAAAAAAAGAAGGTATAAGAAGGATGCTGCTGCATAAGAAGACACAAAAAGCAGCAACGTACTGTATGGACGTGAGGAAAGCAGGAGTGAAGCGCCTGACAAGAGAGACGGTGGTGTAGGAGGGGAGGGAAGCAGAACAGGCTACACATCAGTGGTTCCTGACAGGCCTTTCTTCTTTTTCAGCTTCACCCTCTTTTTCATTCCTTCATCATGGCTGTGCGAACTCTGCTGGTTTGAGAAAAAAAGGTTGTTGGGGTTTTTTTTATCCCCCACTTCTTTCATCTACAACTATAGGTTTTTCCCACAAGCCTTTGCTGTCATACAGTTGCCCTCAGTGGTCTGTTGTCTCTTGTTATTGATTATTAAAATTAAATTAAAAAACTGATGTGAATATGTAACAAATATATAAAAATACATAGAAATGTAGTGGAGTAGAAAGTACACATATTTGCTGATACATGTATTGGAGTAAAAGTGAAAAGTACACATTGATGAAAAATTTACTTTCGCCCCTTAAAGAAGTAAATTTACTTTATTATATACTTTTAATATATTATAGGCTATATATATCTTAGCATACTCATGTACATAGATATCACCCCTCATTGTCATATATATTGATAAATATCTACATTACTTTGCACTGTAAGGGTTTGGCAAGCTGGTGACGCACTTGCTGCTTTTTACTTTTCTGGTTCGATGCTAAACTGCAGTTTGTCATCTCAGTACTTGTACTCAATGCAACGAAAATAAAGTTCAATCCAATCTTCCAATCTGGAGGAGCAGGGAAAAGAAATTAAGAACCATTGGTGGGAGATGAAATGAAGCTTTTCCAAACTACCATTCTGACTTTGTGAAGAGAGGTTTTTTTTTTGTTGCAAACATTTATCATTCCTTCCGCTTTTACAACCATCATTAACGATTCTGTCTCTGTCTCAATGACAGCGTTTTACATGCACACACAAAAAACTGGGGAATATCAGATGGAAATCAGCAAGCACTGCAACCCTGCATTTACAGCTTGGTGATCTGATTTCTCTTATTACATTTTAAACCAGGAGTGGTGCTGTATATTTAAAGTATAATTGTGGTGAAGCTGAAGCTTTGCAGTGGAGTGTGGGAAAGCTCTGAGAGGGAGATTTGAGTGCAACTGCAACTCCTTCAGTTTTAGTTGACCTTGATTTCATTATTTAGCATTTTATGATATAACCAGGTTTCTCTTAACCCTCAAGAAAAATAAGGTTACTTAAGTGTTTTTTTTTCTCATATACTATCTTGACCTTTTCTGCTCCTCCCCACTGTCTCCTTTCTGTTGCCTCTGGCTAATGTGCAGACATATTCTCTTTCATCATTAACATGACTAATAGGTAAGGGGACCAGTGACTGTATTTGAACTGCAGAACTTTGAGAAAAACATAGTCCTGGGAGGTCAGGGTGAAAGGATAGACACAGAGGAAAGAAAAAAGAATCAAATATGCATAATGCAGGATTTCAATAATCAAGGATTAATCTGACATCCTGCATGCCTCTGTGAATGTGCACTCAGCATAATTGGAGATCACAGTGGAGTAACACTGCTGCCCACCAGCATCACCAAAACAGCCATCTGTTAGCAGCTCCGTCAGTACACAAAGAGTGAACGCAGCCTTTTAAGCTCTTTGAGGATTATCAATCATTTATTTTGTTTTGTTTTTGGTCTTCCTGTTGCTCAGTTCACAGACTGTGTTTTCCAACCCCGTAAACAAAGGCCAAACAAATTGAGTGTTAATCAGTTCTTCTCTCCCTCTCCCTTTGCTCGTCTCCCCTCCTCTTCTTCCTCCTCTCTCTCCTCTCAGCGGCGTCCAGCTTCAGCTTTTGCCGTGCCTCCCTGGAGCACACGCTGTCTGCTGAGGAGCTGAGCTACCAGCTGCCGCGTCGCGCCGGAGGCAGCAACCTGACCTGGCACGACGGCCGCGGCCAGAAGACGGCACACACGCGCACCGTCAAGCTACTGCAACAGCCCGGCACAGAGGGCATCCAGGTATAAAGACATACAAACAACTGGATTAGAAGCATAACAAGCATATACAAGCAGATGTATTGTATTTAAATAAAATCACAGATCACTAAAGTAAGTTCAAGCAACAAGGGATGGCTCAGAATTATAAAGGTTTGACCTCAGTAAACATGGAAAGAGAAAGCGAGTATTTGACTTTCATTGGTGAAAGAAAATGGTTTAGACATAATCTGTCTCTTATTTGAATTTTTCAAAAGGAATAAATTCATGCCCATGCAATTTATGTGTTTAGCATTTACATAATTTATATGAACAGTTTTTCTTTGGCAAAATCATAAAAGGAGTAGTTTAATATGTCCCACTAATTGGTCAGTTCAGCCAATGATGCATTCAGTGGTTTATTTTTGCCATTTAAAAGAATAATTTATAAGTGGAATTGATATATCAAGGAAATTGTGTTTTTTTTATATTCAAGCTTTAACTTTTAGCTATTTGTCTATTTGAGATCCACATTCAGAGACAGTGAAGGAAATGAAAATGTTTTTCTATCCAATGGGATGAAACAGCACTTGATGAAGATACATGGAGAACATGGGGTTATGTGATATGACCAAACTCTCATATCCCATTACTTTACATTCGTAAAAATCTTAATTATTTCTACATTTGAGTTGGGGTGTTGCCTTGTGCTCTTAACTTTAGGGTAAGAGGCTAGTGGTGTTTTGTCGTTCACTCTCCTCAATGATTGTTTTTGTCCCGCCCACGTCTGTGTATCATCATCGAGATGATGAGGCTTTTATGATGATGCTTTCCATACACACAGATTTTAAAACTTTCTGTAACACAAAAAATATATCAAAATGATATAAAGTGACATGTAGTAAATGCCGTGTGATCGTAGGTTACCAGCTCAACCATCAATGGTGAAAATGTCTATTAAATAATCTCTAGGATTTTCTGTATCTGAGATATAGTACAAGAAAGACTGTGTCCAGGCAGGTGGGAAGGAAATATAGTAACTCAATATTTCAGTGTCTCAATATTTTAAGTTTAACATCTCCCTCTTCATGTTGTAATAGGTCAAATATTATGGTTCACTTTTGTATGAAATTACATCTTAGTAGTGGATGAAATATTTTAAAGTTTTTTGAAATAAATCATTATTTCCTTTGCGGGGAGCTTTGCCGTGTTGTAATATCGTCCAGTGTGAATTAACTGGTGGCTCATCAAAGCTATGTGTTTTCAAAGTGGCGTCTGATGGAATGAAACTGTTGCAACTTCGGTGGAGCAAATTCCTACTGTGCATGCACCATGGCAGATAATCTGTTCAGAGTCAGAGAGACAAGAGAAAACACATCAGGGCTGCATCTGGAGCTGTCAAAGCTCAGTGGTGATGGAAGTTCTAATTGTTTTCTCTTGTACAGCCTGTAGTAGACACGACCAGAGAGACAGTGGTTACGTAAGAGAGGAGCGGTACAAGGAACTGTTACCTCATGGCCTGTGATGTAACTGTGTTCACACAGTCCGAGGAAACGCAGAAAAATAGACTCTCGGAAATTTACAGTTAATTGTGTAAAATTACAATTTATCCCACTGATGTTTGTGACTGATATCAACGCGGGATATGGAAGTGCATGCTTCCAGTGCTCACTGGATGGTGAGGAGTGTCTGCTTGGTGGCTCAATGTCTCACTAGTATAAGAGCATCGTTTACTTTCACATATTGCTCTTGTGCAAAATAGCCTCCCATCTGTGCATCACCAGAAAGAGGCAAAACAAAGGGGGGGG